TATGGGCCTGCTACACTGTATGCTTCAGAAAAAAGAGATGTTTTTGAAACACTTAAAATAATAATGGAATTTTTTTAAGTCCATGGGGCATAACTCTGTCAAAAATTGCTTGATCATACCCAAAACAGATTTGACCTAGATATTTTTATGATAAATCTGTATACCAAATTTCATTTCAGTATGTGCAACTTCTACAAAGAAAATGAACAGAAACTGCAAATTGAAATTTTCTTAAGTCCAAGGGGCATATAAACTCTGTCAAAAATTGCTTGATCGTACCCAAAACAGAACTTGACCTAGATATTCTTATGATAAATCTGTATACCAAATTTCATTTCAGTATGTGCAACCTCTGCGAAGAAAATGAATGGAAACTGTTGGTGGACAGACAGACAGACCGACCAACAGCAGCAAACCAATATGCCCTCCCTTCTACAAAGGGCGGCATAAAAAAGTTTTCCCCATTTATCATCATATACTTTCCAGCACAATAACCTAGACAAGTACTAGTAGTATAGACGGAATAAAAGCAATGTAATACACTGAATTGATTAAATTCTAATTCTTCTATACAATAAGAATCCATCGCAGCTCATTTCAGGCTAGAATACCTGTATGGAGTTCACACAGAGTGAATACTTCTTGTCCTCGATGAAAGTGTGCTATACTGAGGTATAGTTCCACGTGACTGTTTTTAGTTACAATAGAATTTACGATTTTCTTTCTTTTTTAATAAGTGTCTTTTATATGAAGCGAATATGCATAAAAGATTGATAATTGAAGGAAATACACAAGCCCCTATAAATAGTCTTTGAAAAGGTGAGATTCAAAACTACGAAAGTGTGGCACCAGGTGAATTCGAACCTTAAAATTACCACAACTCTAAAAAGCAAGAGGCCCAGGGGCCACATCACTCACCTGAGCACTGTGGCTAGGAAAAAAGCAAAAATCAGTTTAGTATTGAAAAGCTTAAATGCATAAGTGGTCCCAACCTACCCCTAAAAGGGAGGGGGGGGGTATGATTTGAACAAAATTAAATCTACACTAACTAAGGATGCTTACATAATTTTTTGACCAACTGTGACTTTTCTCTACAAGTTTGAACTTTCATTGTGGCCCCACCCTACCCCTGGAGGTCATGATTTGAACAAACTTGAATCTACACCACCTGAGGATGCTTCCACATAAATATGACCAATCTTAGCTTTGCTGTTCTTGAGAAGATTTTTGAAGATTTTTCCTATGTACACCTATGTCAAACTTTGATCGTCCATTTTGGCCCCACCCTACCCTGGGGGTCATGATTTGAACAAACTTGAATCTACACCACCTGAGGATGCTTCCAAATAAATATGACCAATCATAGCTTTGCTGTTCTTGAGAAGAAGATTTTTGAAGATTTTTCCTATATATTCCTATGTAAAACTTTGATCATCCATTATGGCCCCACCCTTCCCCTAGGGTCACATTTTGAACAAATTTGAATCTACACCACCTGCAGATGCTTCCATATAAGTATGACCAAATCATAGCTTTGCTGTTCTTGAGAAGAAGATTTTTGAAGATTTTTCCTATATATTCCTATGTAAAACTTTAATTGTCCATTGTGGCCCCACCCTACCCCCCGGGGTCATGATTTGAACAAACTTGAACCCACAACACCTGAGGATGCTTCCACGTAAATATTACCAATCATTGCATTGCTGTTCTTGAGAAGATTTTTGAAGATTTTTCCTATGTACACCCATGTTAAACTTTGATCATCCATTTTGGCCCCACCCTACCCCGGGGGTCATGATTTGAACAAACTTGAATCTACACCACCTGAGGATGCTTCCAAATAAATATGACCAATCATAGCTTTGCTGTTCTTGAGAAGAAGATTTTTGAAGATTTTTCCTATATATTCCTATGTAAAACTTCGATCGTCCATTATGGCCCCACTCTTCCCCTAGGGTCACATTTTGAACAAATTTGAATCTACACCACCTGGAGATACTTCCATATAAGTATGACCAAATCATAGCTTTGCTGTTCTTGAGAAGATTTTTGAAGATTTTTCCTATATATTCCAATGTAAAACTTTGATCGTCCATTGTGGCCCCACCCTACCCCCGGGGGTCATGATTTGAACAAACTTGAATCTGCACTACCTGACAATAATTCCACATGAGTTTCATCTTTCCTTGCCCATTGGTTCTTGAGAAGAAGATTTTTCAATAATGCCATTAATTTTTACTATTTCGTAATTATATCCCCTTGGAGGAGGGCGTGGCCCTTCATTTGAACAAACTTGAATCCCCTTCACCCAAGGATACTTTGTGCCAAGTTTGATTGAAATTGGCCCAGTAGTTCTGGAGAAGAAGATGAAAATGTGAAAAGTTTACGACAACAACGCTGACGACAGACAACGGACAAATTTTGATCAGAAAAGCTCACTTGAGCCTTTGGCTCAGGAGAGCTAACAAGAGGCCCATGGGCCACAACGCTCACCTGAGTCAATATGGCCCTGCTGTTCTTTGTCAGCAGATTTCTTCTTCTATATATTCATACGTAAAGCTTTGATCAACTGTTCTAGGCATAACCTATCCCCAGTTGCCATGTTTTGAATGAAATTGAATCTAAACTTTCTGAGGATGCTTCTATATTCATATAACTAATCATGGTTTTGCTGTTCTTGAAACGGAATTTTAAAGATGTTTGCCATCCTACCCTGGGGGGGTAGGAAGGGAGGGGGGGTTCAAGATTTGAATAAACTTGAATATACACTACCTAAGGATGCTTCCATATCAATATGACTAATTATGGCTTTGTTGTTCTTGAGAAGAAGATTTTTTAAGATATTTCTTATATATATTCTTTTGTTAAACTTTGATCCCCGATTATGGCCCCACCACTACTACTGGAGGATGCCTTGAACAAACTTGAATCTACAATACTTGGGGATGCTTCAATATCAAAATGACTAATCACGGCTTTCCTGTTCTTGAAAAGATTTTAAAAGATTTTTCCTATTTATTCCTATGTAAAACTTTGATCCCCCATTGTGGCCCCAACCTACCCCCAGGGGTCATGATTTGAACAAACTTAAATCTACACTACCTGAGGATGATTTCATATCAATATGACTAATTGTGGCTTTGTTGTTCTTGAGAAGAAGATTTTTAAAGAATTTTCCTATGTATTCCTATGTAAAACTTTGATCCCCCATTGTGGCTCCATCCTACCCCCGGGGGTCATGATTTGAACAAACTTGAATCTACATTACCTGAGGATGATTCCATATCAAAATGACTAATTGTGGCTTTGTTGTTCTTGAGAAGAAGATTTTTAAAGAATTTTCCTATATATTCCTATGTAAAACTTTGATCCCCTATTGTGGCCCCACCCTACCCCCGGGGGTCATGATTTGAACAAACTTGAATCTACACTACCTGAGGATGATTCCATATCAATATGACTAATTGTGGATTTGTTGTTCTTGAGAAGAAGATTTTTAAAGAATTTTCCTATATATTCCTATGTAAAACTTTGATCCCGCATTGTGGCCCCACCCTACCCCCGGGGGTCTTGATTTGAACAAAATTAAATCTACACTACCTGAGGATGATTTCGTATCAATATGACTAATTGTGGCTTTGTTGTTCTTGAGAAGAAGATTTTTAAAGAATTTTCCTATATATTCCTATGTAAAACTTTGATCCCCCATTGTGGCCCCACCCTACCCCCGGGCATCATGATTTGGACAAACTTGAATCTACACTACCTGATGATGATTTCATATCAATATGACTAATTGTGGCTTTGTTGTTCTTGAGAAGAAGATTTTTAAAGAATTTTCCTATATATTCCTATGTAAAACTTTGATCCCCTATTGTGGCCCCACCCTACCCCCGGGGGTCTTGATTTGAACAAACTTAAATCTACACTACCTGAGGATGATTTCGTATCAATATGACTAATTGTGGCTTTGTTGTTCTTGAGAAGAAGATTTTTAAAAAAATTTCCTATATATTCCTATGTAAAACTTTGATCCCCCATTGTGGCCCCACCCGACCCCTGGGGGTCATGATTTGAACAAACTTGAACTTACACTATGTAATGAAGGTTTCCCATAAGTTTCAACTTCTCTGGCCCAATGGTTCTTGAGAAGAAGATTTTTAAAAAAAGACACCAAATTTTCACTTATTCTTAATTATCTCCCCTTGGAAGAGGGCATGGCCCTTCATTTGAACAAACTTGAACCCCCTTCACCCAAGGATGCTTTGTGGCAAGTTTGGTTGAAAATGGCCCAGTGGTTCTGGAGAAGAAGTCGAAAATGTGAAAAGTTTACAGACGGACGGACGGACGGACAGACGGACAGACGGACTACGGACAAAATGTGATCAGAAAAGCTCACTTGAGCTTTCAGCTCAGGTGAGCTAAAAAGGTATCCACGGTGTTAATATTCAGCTGTTATACCTATCGAGCTATTCTGGTTATGAAAATAACTGATATAAATGTGAACCCAGGTTGTCTTAAAAAAGGTTTCCTTATTTTTGTAGAATTTTTTGGTCAATTTCAACCATAGGGCAGGGGTGCCCCTAAAAATTTCCTTTCTAATTATTCCTTACATCACAGCCTATCAAAATATCATAATTGTATTTAGGGGCAGGCCTGCCCTGAAGGACTTCTTAGTAGGCCAAAATTCATGCAAAAATCAGTGCTTTAATGGACAAAACTCTGTTCTGGCCAACTTTGGAGGTAATTTGAAAGTTGTAAATAATAAATAGGTTCATAATACAAACTGGAAATTTTTTTTAGATATATATACGATAGAAAACAACTATTGAACATTAATTTTTAAAATGTGACATTTTCTGGGAAATTGTTCTCTCCTATAGGTCAATTCCATTGAAATTGTGAACATCCTTTTGATGAGGAACTGAAAAGTCCTTGTTCAGTTTATTGTAATTTGTATACCCATTTTCTTCTTAATCAAAATAAAGAATATGCATAAATCAATTCAACAGAATGTTTTATTGAACACTGAAGTCAACATTTTTAAAAAGAATTTGTTGGTACTTGCAATTAGTACAGACGAATTCATGTTTAAGGCAACATAAAAAAAATTTCCATAAATGTTATAACAGTATTACATTACAGAAGGCAAAATTATACATTTATTTTTCATACTTCATCTTGTAAATTATCTTATTCCATTCAGTATCATTTACATACCGGTACTTTTAAGATGTTAGGTTTCTTTTCCTGGAGTGAAACGTAGAAGAAAAACAAATTCAACAAAGCATGGTAAAATAAAATGAAATGGTCTAACATTAAAAAACTATTGAACTAGCACTACTTGTTTACATGCACATGTAAGCACTTGACATTATATTATTTTCTTATCACAAAAAATATAGCCCCTCCCCCCTCGATAACTTGTGATTGAATTAATAGGTAGGAGATTACATTTCTTTTTGTGATAAAAAAAATAACGTCAAGTACCTGTTTTAACATGATCACGCAAGTTGTAAATTGCATAAAAGAAAAACCATTCAAACTCCTTTGGATTAAACCAAATTCTGCTTTCTGTGGAAATCCAAGTTTCAAATGTTTTCTGAGAATTTTTCATGGTCAAGAACAGTTAACATCTTTTTTTCCCTTCAGGTTGCTTTGTCTTTGGTGGTTATACAAAACCCATTTACTACATCTGTCCACTTCAAATTTCCAGTCTATTACGCCTTTCAATCCCATACCATGGCTGAAGAATAAAAAAAAAAAACCACTCCTTCAATAGAACTGTTTCTCTACAATTCTGGTCCATAATCATGTAGACACATCTCCTTGTGACCCTGCTTCCAATGTTCCCTCTGACACTCTGGTGAACAATATCTGGATAATCGGCATTTACCACAATACAGAAACTTCTCTTTATCAGTCTCTAGCTTCCGACAAGCTGGTGACGAACAGAAAATGTACGCTTCATAAAACTGTTCCAGCTCCTCTATCAGCTTTTCTTTTGGATTCCAGTCCTCTGGTTTTAGGGAACTTGTTAAACTGTCATCAATGCACAACATGCGGACACGATCGTGGTATTCAAATACATCCTCTGCTCCGTCCCATTCTACCTTTGATTTCTGAAGCTTAACCGCGTACACATCCAGTTCATTAATAACATTAGACTTTAAGATGGTTCTTCGTGAATCACTATTACCCAGCTGCAGTAAGGCTGCTAAAATTTTGGCACAATAAGAAACTGCTTCAAGACAATAAATTCCAAATGCTCCTTGACGACATTTAATTTGTTGGTACATGTGTCTGACAATTCCATGCTTCATGTACGGCACAACCAGTGATGCTTTTCCTACAATAATCATTCTGTACAACACAATGAAGCCTTTCCTAACAAGTTCTGGATATTCTCTCTGCTCCAGGGCTAAGAAAACAACAGGCAAAATGTCATCCTTGTAAGAGTTAACTCTCTTGATGAGGGCCACCGTCGTTAAACACTCGCTGAATAACTCCATGACGTGAAGAAGGTGCGAGATGGTATGTTTCTGACAGGACGCTTTTGGACTCTTTACTACCATATAGATAAGTCTGTCTGCGGCCACCTCTCCAATACACTGCAGGACCTTCCAATAGTTTAGGAAGTGTTTAGTTTTGAAGCTGGATTTCATTTTCTGCAATGTCTCGTAGACTTTGTTCATGTTCTTGTAGTCCCACTTGTCAATGTATTTACAGACATCCTCAACGTAGCTTTCTATGCTTCTTGTTGCTGCCATGTCACCTTATACTGAAAAATAATATATAGGATTATCTTATTTGAAAAACTAAGGAAGTACTTTTTTTGTTCCAAAATCTTTATCAGTTATTTTACAATAGCCTGTGCATTTTACTTATGGCGTATTCCAAGTACTTGTTTATCTTGTAAACGGGAACACTCAACAGTCATGATATTTAATCACAATCATGTATATAATTATATAATTACTTTTGCCAGTGCCTTTCCTTTTATGACAATACTAATTAAATTGACATTCAACTTTCGATGACATTAAGTTGGTCACGTGATAAGGCTTTTTTGTGTATAGAAAGCAAAGTGCATAAGACATTTGGAGGCTCTATATAGACTGTGTTGTCATACGATGTCGTACATTTCCATAACAAAATCTTTTCTAGTGCATTTTTTTCCCTTTGTAACATGAATAAAAATATAAACATAATAAAAGAGATCATTATTTAGAGTTTCATTGGGATATGACATGAAGTTGATACGTGATCAAATCTTTGGACGTTTTATAGAATTTGACAATATATATAATATGTGGCCAACTTCATGTCACACTGTGTAGAAACGGTAAAGTGCATTACCCTAGTCAAAGATGGTGACAGGCAAATGCACTTCGATTAATTTGCACTTCGATTAATTTGCACTTAGTTTATGCGTTTTACAGGCTTACATTATTCATTGTGTTGTTTCATTTGAAATATTTTAAACAGAAGTAACTACTGCGAAAGTTTTGCATGATCTACACTGATTAATTGCCAAATTGCAGGTACAAATTTCAAAAATGATTAGGGTATTAACGTAAATCTAAGACTAAGGTAGAGATTTTCTGAGCTCTTAGAGTGATTAGGGTAATGAGTATACTAGTATGTAAAATGTCATTTTACTTGTTTCAGGGTCTGAATTCAATTCATTTATTTGAAACACCATCATACATTGGCATATAGTCATGAATACAACAAACAATATGAATAACATACATAAAATCAATAGAAGTTGCTATTTCACCAGACTCAAAACGCACTCTGTCAGCCAATTCATTAATCATTGCACCAAACACCATGTAACTGATTTCTTTTTTGTTTTTGAATGAGTACAATGGGGCATTTTTGTTCAAATTAGTTTAATATGTTCCTTTTAACATATTGTATATACAGTAAGAAATCCTGGAAAACAGTGCTCTGAAAACTAAAATGCAGCGAAATTTTTTTTTAAAAACATTTACAAATCAATAAAAGTATCATCAACAAAGAAAGAATAGGGGAGAGAGAAAGATCTTACTTTTTGTATTGTCATATGCATATTGTACAAAAAATAGAATTTTCTAGTACTTTGTAGTAGGAAAGGAGAACATATATCACTGGACTGAGAATGGAACCCTGGACCCCTGTATTACAGTACCGTCCAGACACAACCTAACAGAAAGCGAACCCAAAGCGCACCCCGGGTTCGCTGCCTGGGTTCGCTTCGGGTTCGCTTGGGGTTCGCTATAGCGGACCCCGAGCGAACCCGAAGCGCACCCCGAGCGAACCCGCAGCGGACCCAGAGCGAACGCCGAAAGCGAACCCCAAATTCAGTAGCGAACCCAGCAAGCGAACGCGCGTTCGGTGTTGCGTAACTGATCTGTCAATCAGGATTAGCGATAAGACGTGTTAACCAATCAGCGCGTCGACCGATCAGCATGCCAGTTTGTCATTCGATGTAAATAAAACATTCTACAAGCAAAGCGTGTTTATGTACAGTGTGAAATTATTATTAACATGATTAAAAAAATATTTATATTTATAAATTAATATCTAGGTAGCATATTATATTTACACATTGATTTTCTTTATTTTTTATTTTTAAAATCCATTTATTTATATTGCGTAAATCTATCAGACAAAAAGTTCTTTAATGTGTAGAACAAAAAATGGTTATCACAATTGTTACTAAAAAAAAAAGAAAAAAAAAGTATTTTGACAAATTATAACATTTCATCATCTCAAGATACTGTAAAAGATTATGTATATGTACGTGTTTTCATTCAATTATCTTATTTTTATAATTCTAATTTACATTTTCGTTTAAATCCAGATCAACATCAAAATTATTGATCTTTTTAATTGAAAAAAGTAAAAAAAAAAAAAAAAAAAAAAAAATAAATAAATAAATAAAGAACAGCATAAATGTACATGTACAGTATGTCCAATCGTAAACTACTATGGTATTATTTTGATTTATCTTTTACAAAAAAATAATGTAAAGCTTGATTTACCTTGTTTTTTTTATTATTATTATTAATTGAAATAAAAAGAAAAAAAACAACGCGCGATTTACATGTACATTATTGAACGAACTAATTATCGGTAGTAAATAAGCAATATAATAAGTCGTATTGTATTCTTTTAAATAGCGTAACTTTAAATGATTAAGCGTATTTAAGATGTTTAACGATTTTTTTTTCTCTGATGATGGGTCCCGTTAACTGCTTAATGTGGTCATGATATTTTTATATCAATACATCAGAAATGTAAATTAAAAAAAAAAAAAATAATTCCCAATACTTACATAAATAATTAGTCGACAAATGTACACGACATGATTGTCGGGGTTACTTTTTATCCCTGATACTTATTATTTTAATTTCTGCAGATGAATGAATTTAAAAGAAAAATGCTGATTTTTGAATTCACAAATGGAAAGATGAATATAAGTATTCATTCATTATTTAGGCCACTTTTAAAAAATTTTTACCCCCATACTGCATATTATAAAATCCAATAGAATCAAAGCTCACAGTCAACCTATATCATTTGATAGAACATGCTGCATTCGATCATAAATTACATTTTTACGTATCAAAAAGATAAAAAAAAATTCTAAGTCGGAGAATTACATTAATAATTATTTGTAATTTAAAATACCTATTAAATCTTATTTACATGTAGTTTCAAAAATATTTTTTTCTATAATTTTTTTTTTCAGTTTTCCAAAGTCGATTAATTGCAGCAGTAAATATTTTTAATCTAAAATATCTATAAATAAGTTTTTTGTTTTTTTTGTTTGTTTTTTTTTAAATATCCACTCCTAAATATTTTTAAGTATTTTGTGTAAAACGTGATCGTTTGTGTATGTTGTCAACAATAACATTGCAGTCACAGCACATGCACATGTATCGATCGCCACAAAAACAACAATGATCGATTTCACTGCTGTATTTGGAATAAACAAGGGGTGGAGCTTACTGGCGGCAAGATTAAAGCGGGGTCCGCTTCGCGCATGAGTGCGTAAAGCGAACCCAGAAAGTGAACGCTGGGTTCGCTCTAGCTGACTTGAACATTTCATTTATTTAAGCAACTGATATGGGTTTCATCAACACACACACACGTTCTATAGAAAATAAGAAATGCTGCGAAGTTATGATGATTGGTTATAGACATGATACAATACAATGCTAACAAATAACAACATTAACTATGTATAATACAAACCATAAAATTGTTCTCCCTAGAAAGTCGATATCAGTACATAGAATTGAACTTTGACAACGATGATGTTTTTGTTGCTGCTGTAAACCGGAAGTTAGGATATCGAATGTCAATTTTAGCGGGAAAGGAAAAGTTGGCGGATCCAAATTTTTGTCAAAAATGCATTGCTTCGACAATATTCCACGGGCGTAGGCTAGCTGCCATTTACAATGAATGCTCTTACAGTCCTGCTCAGTTCGTTGCAAAGTTTCTGAAAAAGGGAGCGGTGCTAGGGATATACCCCCTACTCAGAGTAAAAAAGTTATTTTAATAAATTAGGTAGATTCTATCATTTTTGTGGGTCTTGTGCATTTTTCATATTACATTAAACAAATTATTGCAGCAATTATTTTGAATAGGTGAATGATGTTATTTTGTTTCAAAGATTATGTCAGTATATTCATTTTTTTCACAGGATTTTTTTACTACCAAGTAAGTATTGCTGTTACATGTACATTGCGTTCCTACAGTTCATTATTTATTTTATAAAACTTGGGAAAAAGTTGTTGTCATAGTGCACTAGAACCAACTAAAATGGTTCCCGTTACCCAGATAGCATAAAGGGCTTAAATTATCAATGTCAGTAGTAAATTTTTACACTGATCAACGAAGTTACCCCCCCCTCCCCTACACTCCTATGCTTTCCTTCGGATGCATATAATTACTAGTAGTGCTTTCAAAGGACCCATATGGAATTAATATTCTGATAAATTAAATATACCATCTAAAAATTTTGCACACGTCTTTCCTTAACCGAGGTTTCTTTTTTCTCTCTCTCTCTCTCTTGGTTTTCGTTTATTTTCGTTGTCTTTTTGTCTCTTTTTTTTCTTTTTGTAGTTTACAGGTATACCCAAACATATGATAAAAAAAGATGTCTTTGTTCTTCAATTAAATTTTGAGCTCCATAAATAAACATGGCCGTAGGAACCGGGGGGGGGGGGCACGGGGGGGCGTGCCCCCAATAATTTTGCCGATATATAGATTACTATAGTAAACTTAGATACTATATGCTTGTGCCCCTCAATTAAAACGTCTGATGCCCCCCCCCCTTTTTTTTTTTTTTTTTTTGCTTGTCAGGAAATTTTTGGTGGTGTCCCCTCAACACAGGCACTTGTTTCTGTAATAAAGAGCTAGGTTCACTTTATGCATAAAATGGCCCTGTCTTTATATCAGTTAATTGACTATCATCCTCTGTCCCATTTCATATATCAAAATAAAGTAGAGACTTAGTGCTTTCATTTCCTATAACAAAATTTCTTTTTGAGAATCCAGGTATTGCAAAACAGGCTTTAAGAAAATGAAATGTTCTTGAATTTTGCAGAAAACATACGTATTTGACTACCTTCAACAAAGAATTAAAATATGAGCACAACCCACGATCCAAAAATTAAAACATGTTTTGTGATCTTCAGAAACAGATCTTTCATTATGTAAATGCATATTTTGGATCAGAGGTTGTGCTCTATATGAAATATTGAAAAAATACCCCAACTTTTGGCCATTTTAAGGGAATTTACAGGATATGGGAAAAATGACGCATTTTATGACGTCGTAATGCATTAACTAGAGAGAAAATTACGTCATGTTCAATAGATACACGGTCACCAGGTGTCCAAGCTATAAATACTGCATTTTTAACCAAAACTGAGCAGTTTCGATTTTTCAGAAATTCTCAGGGCCAAAAAAGGCCTTAAGTGGCTCTTGCTCTTTTTGACCCATAGTATAATAATTATTTACTATGGGTGAAGTGTGAGGTGTGTCCCTAATACAATACACCCCATCCCTCATCAATTTCAAACCTGCAAACAATATAATTTAGATACACACCCTTCCTATTTTTCCAAGTTTGTAATAAATGTAAGTAAATTTTTTTTAGATCAGGGAATGCCCTCCTTCTCTCTGTCTCTCTCTTAATATTCACGCTCTATTGACCAATATTGATCACGTGAGCTGACCCAGCTAACCTGAGCAGTGAGGGATCTTTTTCGTGCCAGCACCTACTGCGACACGGGACCGCGGTTTATAGTGACGGTCTCATCCGAAGGAACGGTCTCCACGTCCCACAGTGGGATTCGAACCCGTGACGCAAGGATCAACTCCTTACTTCACGACTCTAGAGTAGACGCTCTAACCACTGCGCCACGCGGGCGACGTAATATTAATGTAAAGGAGGTGATGTATGCAGACCTCAAGATGTGCCATGATTTTGACCCAAGGTCATTTTTAGACAAAGTCAAGTCACAGACAGAAAGCTTAATGCTTCATATTGCTATTAGGTCCAAGAGAGGAATATTAAAAGCTCAGTGAGTTGACACAAAATGAAGATTACTTTAACTTATGGTTCAGAATGTGTGTTTAGTTAATTGAGTTTGTCAGTGGGGATATGAATCAGTTTGTCAACTTGATCAAGTTTCTATAAGTAATAATTTACTGTTAAAGATTTTTAATATTTTTATGGTTTAAAGGTATTACATGAAATAAAAATTGAAGACTTTTTACAATATCCTTGAATCTGCCAAATTCAGCATTTTTTTTTTTTGGCCAAATACAGGATTTATATTCATCAGAAAAGCAAGTTTATTTGAAATGAGCAGATTGAGAACAGTGCAATTACAAATGATTTTTTTGTTTTATATTTTAATTTTTTAAGCTCACCTGAGCTCAGGTGAGCTAAAAAAAAATTAGAACAAAAAAAATTGGGGGGGGGGGGGGTAAAGGGGATTCAAGTTTGTTCAAATGAAGGGTCAGGCCCTCTTTGAAGGGGAGATGATTAAGAATTGGTGAAAAAAATCTTCTTCTCAAGAACCACTGGGCTGAAAAAGTTGAAACCTCTGTGAAACCTTCATTACATAGTGTAGATTCAAGTTTGTTCAAATCATGACCCCCTAGGGTAGGGTGGGGCCACAATGTGCGATCAAAGTTTTACATAGGAATATATAGGGAAAAATCTTTAAAAATCTCCTTCTCATGAACAGCAAAGCCACAATTAGTCATATTGATAATGGAATCATCATCAGGTAGTGTAGATTCAATTTTGTTCAAATCATGACCCCTGGGGGTAGGGTGGGGCCACAATGGGGGATCAAAGTTTTACATAGGAATATGTAGGAAAAATCTTTAAAAAAATCTTTTCAAGAACAGGAAAGCCACGATTAGTCATATTGATATGAAAGCATCCCCAAGTATTGTAGACTCAAGTTTGTTCAAGGAATCCTCCAGTAGTAGGGTGGGGCCATAATGGGGGATCAAAGTTTTACAAAAGAACATATATAGGAAATATCTTTAAAAATCTTATTCTCAAGAACAACAAAGCCATGATTAGTCATATTGATATGGAAGAATCCTCAGGTAGTATAGATTCAAGTTTGTTCAAATCATGACCCCCCCTCCCCCCCCCCCCCCCCCCCCCCCCCGGTAGGATGGCAGACACCTTTAAAATTTCGTTTTCAACAGCAAAGTCATGATTAGTTGTATGAATATAGAAGCATCCTCAGAAAGTTTAGATTCAATTTCATTCAAAATATGGCACCTGGGGGTAGAGTATGCCTTGAACAGGCAATGAGTGAAAGCTTTAAATATGAATATATATATAGGAGAAGAAATCTGCTGACGAAGAACAGCAGGGTCATATTGACTCAGGTGAGCATTGTGGCCCATTGGCCTCTTGTTTTTTGGTTTACATGAGTGAATAAATGTACAGGTATTGTTTGTTAAAGAAAAAAAAATGAATTTATTAGCAGGATTTATACAAATCAATTAATTAAACTTAATTTTTAGTAAAAAATTCATTAAAGTTAAACATTGTGGATATAAAAGAGTGTGCATAATGATAGAAATCAAGTGAATAGTCTGAAGTAGATTCAGAAGACTTAAGATAAATTAATCATTCAGGATATTTTTCTAAATTAGTTCAAAGGTCATGGTCTGCTATAATGATAGAGTTTTTAGGTCACCTGAGTCACTCAGGTGACCTATTGCTATCCGTTCTTGTCTGTCGGCGTGTGTCGTGTGTTAACATTTGAACATTTTTAGCTTCTTCTCTGAAACTGCTTAACCAATTTCAACTAAATTTGGCATATAACATCTATGGGTGAAGGGAAACAAAAATTGTGAATTTCATGGTCCCTGCCCCCCTGGGGCCTGAGGGGTGGGGCTAAAACCACCAAAAATAATGCAATCTTTAAAAATCTTCTTCTTTACTCCTGGACATGAAGCAGTCAAACTGTTGCATGATTGTAATAAGCATTGAGCCCTCTACCAAAATTGTGAAATTCATGGCCCCAGGGTCAGGGGTTCTGGTGCTAGGGTGGGGCTGTATGGATCATAGAGTGAAAGTGCATTATTTCTTTGAAAATCTTCTTCTCTGCTCCTTGGTATTAAATAAACTAACTAAGTACATAGTTATGAAGAGCAAGAGTGCCTCTTCCAAAATTGTGAAATTCATGGCCCCAGGGTCAGGGGTTCTGGTGTTAGGGCGGGGCTCTATCGATTATATAGGGAAAAGGCATGAATTCTTTCAAAATCATCTTCTCTGCTCCTGGGTATTTTTCAAACAAAGGACGTGCATGGTTATGATAAGGAAGAATGCCTCTTCCAAAATTGTGAAATTCATGGCCCCTGGGTCAGGGGTTCTGGTGAGGGGGGAGGGGGGGGGGAGAGCTCTATTGATTATATAGTGAAAATGCATAATTTCTTTCAAAATATTTTTTTTACTACTGGTTATAAAGTAAAGAAACAAGTGTATAGTTATGATGAGAAAGGGTGCTTCTTCCAGAATTGTGAGTTCGTGGCCAATGGGTCAGATGTTCTGGTGTAAGGATGGGGCTTTATTTGTTTAATAATTTGGTGAAAATGCATTTCTTTGAAAATCTTCTATGCTTCTGGGGATGTTCAAGGCAAACAGAGTAAAAGTTTTAATATGCAAGGGTATTTTTACCAGAATTTTGAACACCTGGACCATTTAGTCAAGTGTTCTGGTCCTGGCCAGAACTCTATTAACTTGTATTCTGCTGAGTAAAGTTATTCCCTTTTGCCATTCACCTTTGATAA